TACTAATGATATATAACATTGAGTTTAGTATTTGAATTTGTTGAAAGTAGAATAAATTATCTTTTGGAGAAAAAAAACTATAAAATTTTAGGGTCAACGAAATTTATTTGATTGTACATTAACTATAATCTTTTGGTGATAATAAACTATATTTCCAATTTTTTCCGAACGTTTATTCCGATATTTCCAAGTTTATTTTCCGAATTTTTCGATACTTTGAATTCCGAATTTTCCGATTTTTTTTCCGATTTCCGAAATTCCGAATTTGGATATAATTATAGAGTTCCGAAAAAAATTGGAATGGAATTGGAAGAAAATTTTCATTTCCGATTTATTTTTTCCGAATATGCTATTTCCGATCCGATCCAGCCGATTTACAACCCTACATCCAGTAAATTTTGGTAGGCAAGCGGGGTTGAGGGGACCCCTACCCCTTATAAATTATGTGGCGAAATATTATATCAACAATCAGCTGCTGATACGTCTCGAACCCACAACCTCTCAACTTTGAGAGGGGTGTTACCGTTGAGCCACATGCCAACTCACTACCAAGAACCAAATTCGATGAGCATCTTTTGTTTTCTATTCCCATCCTCATTAAAGTTGGGTCGGGTTAGGCCTAATCAATGCTTTTATTAAATTAAGTCATCCCTAGGTTGAAATACTGGTTTAGTTTAAATAAAATTATTTAGCTAAACTAGATGGAGGTGTAGCTCAAAATATACAAATTCCTACTGTTTGAGCACTTGCATCTGGCAAGTCTATCAGGTTTCGAATCCCTGCATCTCCGAAAGCTTTTTTCTTTTTTCTTATTTTTTGCATTCCATCATGTCTAAAAAACCCATAAACTATTGGGCCCAAACCCAACCTATCAACTCCTTTGACTGCAAAACCCACATCATATTTGGCTTCTCCACAGATGCACACAAAAGCAGAAAACAAAGCTTCATAAGGTAGTCAATTGCATGAGTGACTTTTATAATTTTGTACGAATGACAACCTCACAAAACGTGAATAAAAACATGGGCTTAAAACCTATTAAAAGATAGCAGCCCAAGCCCAACATACAACCCAAAAAGGTACTATAACTGCATTGGAAAATGAAGCGCCATGATGTGTATTGGCTAAAGCTGAAGAGTGCTCTGTTTGGGGGAAACAATTGAAGCTTTTGTTGATCTGAAGCTTTTGTTCATGGCTAGACCTAGGCGTGTCGTGAGATCTGCAAGGGAGAGATGGGCGAGATTTCGAAGATTTGAGTCTTTGATAGCTAGGTTCTTTGCAGCTGTGAGAAGATCCATGTGTGATGCTCATTATAATGCCTTTGAAGGTTATAGGAATGGACTTCATATTTATTAATTCCTCAAAAAAGATACAGCCAGTTTTGTCATCCTGTACAAGCATACTGAGCTGCATACACATAAGAACAATGAAAAACTTTTCTCCTATTATATTGTCAGAACTAGCCATTGACTCTCTATACACATGCTTATATGTAACTGTATCTGATGAAATTTAATTCCACCTACGAGATTTCTACAATACCACGGTGGTGCCAGGTTATCATTCAAAATCTGAATAGCATGAAGTGAGTCTGCTGCAAATAGGACTTTTCTTTGCTGAATCATCCTGCATCCTCTTAGTCCTACCAGAATTGCATACATTGCTTCAATACTGAATTCCCCTTAAACCAAAAAACATGCAAATGTGCGGTCTAACTCTTGCTTTAATACTACACGAGGGTTTTTCGCGCATTCATCATTTCATCTTAAATTTTTTTACCAATTCTTTGTTTTAAATTCCCAAATCCGACTAATCCTATTTTATGCATTCATCATTTCATCTTAAAGCCCGACCCTAATTTTATTTTATGCATCCATCGAGTCGGGTTGCCTAAATGTAGTTAGGCACATTAATCATCCACAGTTTCCTTCCCTAGGATTCAGTTTAAATTAAATTATTTTGCTGTAGTAAACGGAGATGTAGCTCAAAATCTATTTCCACCGGTTTGAGCACTTGCATCCTTCAAGGCGAGGCTATCAGGGTTCGAATCCCTGCATCTCCAAATTTTTTTTGTTTTTTTGTTTTTCGCTCAATATATCCTTGCATTGTACCGTGTTATTGGGGTTTGTTTAAAAACTAATGGGCCAAAACCCAACCCATTAACTCCCTTGACTGTAAAACCCATTGTGTTGTTGGGCTTTGTCGAAGAAAAAACAAAAATTAATGAGCCAAAACCCAGTCCACTAACTCCCTTGACTGCATAAGTACATAACCCACATCACACGTGACTTGTTATGATTGGACCCATACACACCACACCGAAGAAGAGCACATCGAGTAGTCAATTGCATGCATGAGCGTGCAATTTTGTATGAATGATGAATCTTCCAAGGCATCACTAATCAGGAAGCTGTGGGTCTTGCTTGCTTTGATGAGGATGTCTGGGTAGTTTAAACTTGGAACACAAATTTACCATGGAGGCTGAAGATGATGGCATCTGTAGTAGCCGCTGCGCTGGCCATCAATTAAAGTACTGATCTGACAGCAGACCGCAGAAGAACCATTAGCGTTGTTCATTTTAGGATGTGCCATAGAATTCAAAATGTAAAGAACCCATGAGCTTGCTAAATAGGCATTCAATCAGGGTGCAATGGCATTCATATATATATATACATTGGACGCAGGCATTCAAACGCAGATGTATTATTCTCATTTTTCAAATGCATTAGAAATTAGAATTCAACACATTCAGTTTCAATTAAAATTGTAATTGCATCTTGAGCAACACATGAAATAAACTCAAGCAAACAACAAATATTTTTTTTTCATCATATCAAGAGAACTTCCAGCAAATGCAACAAGAACCAAATGAATAATCAGACATTATGCATTGGCGAGGCAATATCTTGACCACTCAAAACCTTAACTGGCAGAAACATGTATTGGTAGAAATTATAACTCTCCATCTATAAACAGGCTTCCGACTGGTATGTTTAAGACTCTTCTTCAAGGCACTTACAACACCTACATTCGAAACCATAGTCTGCAAGTAGAGCCTGTCTGTCTTTGAAGGGGAGGTCCTCATCAATGTATGAAATGGTAATCTGAGAAGGTATCATTTTTTATTTTCTGTATTGATTCTTCTGAAAGAATATGAGTAGGGTAAAAACATTACCTCTTCTTCTTTTCCAATGGACCTGACTGCAATAATTGCTGCTTGGCCATCTCTGTCCTGCAATTGGCTCAAATGATTTTAGAGTTATGAGGCTGATGATAAATGATGCAGTGGAGAATATATCACGAACATCAAGGAGTTAATTAATAGATTTGCTATCTTTTTCAGATATATTAAAACTGATAAAATAGAATCGAACAATATTAAGGCATGAGTAATAACTACTGCAATAGTGCAATCTTATAGCTTTGTCCACAATGGCTTCTGGTTCTAAGCTATCATGGTCCTTGTAAGCTAGATAAAACCATTTCAGCGGGTTTTATCCACATTTTTGTTTACCACTCATGGATTTTTATGGCACGTGAGTTTCATGCTTCTAATGCTAGATAAGCTAAATCATGGTCCTTGTAGCTAGATAGGCTTCTAATGCTTCAAGCAGAGGGAAGAGGGACAAATAGATTACATGGTAGATAATATAACACATGCACGAGTATCTGCAATTTGTCTGAAATAGAATGCATCAACAATCCGAAAAATCTAACTTCTATGAGTACAATATTGCATCTCTAAAAGAAGATCGAAAAGAATAAAAATGTAGCATGCATTACCTCCTCTCTTTTAAAAGCTTTGGCATTAGGATGGCAGGAATGGTTCATACAACTTTGCAAAGGAAAGAATGCAGAGCCTGATACAAGATAAGGCAATCAATGATAATATATGATTCAATTCATAACTAGAACTGTAGAAGAATAGCAAAAATGCATTTCTACATTAATTAAATAATCTAGTATCCAAAGATTTTTGTTGAATGTAATAAGCTAAAATAAACGATGAGATGCGGAATGAATGATAATGACAAAGGTACAAGACAATTCAGACCAGTTTACAGTAAATAATACGAAAAACTCATAATTCTAAAACACAGAAAATACATGTCGTGCCTTAATTAAATCAGCTTAAATCCAAATATCTATTTAAAGATAATAAAAGTATTAAATAATGAGATGCACATGCAATGGTAAGGGTAAACGTATGTAGACCTCGAATCAGATCATACGTCATAAGCAATTGTTATGTAGGGCTTATACTTTTAAAGAGAGGTTCATCTAAACTAAGATAGAATATAAATCTGTCAGACTATTACAAGAATATGATAATGCTATCATTTAATCATTTCTACGCAAGGGCTAAAGGAGAAAAAAAATACTGAAAGTAACCTGTTCACAATACAAATATAGGAATTGGATGACCTGAGACGATTATTTACTAATTAATTTCACTACCAAAATATTTTGAGATGGTTCACAAGAATCAGAAAAAGTATCTACATGCATATGGATATATTAAGCATATATGATCAAATTAAAAATCAAAACAATATAGTCAAACTATTAGGATAGTTAGATCCTAATCGAATTGAAAGATAGCACATTAAATTTATATCTTTGGAGATGGACAATGATCCCAAGATTTGGGTAAAATTCCCTTATAGGTTCGAACAGCTGATCACTGGACACTCTCACATGAGGAGGGAAGGTCATAAGGGTAACATACAAGGAAAAATTAATGACAGTGTAAATTTCTCAGGTTGATGCTAAGCATACCTTGACAGCAGACTGAATACTCATCCCCAAGAGCATCAAGAAATGGTCTTGTAATCCTCTCAGCATGTTCCTACATAATATATTTCTCAAAATTATCAGAAGAATTTCAGGGAGAGTATGTCTCGAGCAGGAGTGAATGAAGTAGTTCAAATAAAAATAAAAGAAGTGAAAATTGAAATGGGATGAAAACTACTTTTTCTAACCTTCTTCTCATTTTGAAGATCATCAATATATAGAAAATAATCCTCCACTGGCGATGCTACAACCAAGTCACTGCATAATTTAGCATTGTTATTTCCAAGAATTAGTTTTGAAACAACCAAGTCACTACATGATGAGAAACATGTAGTACTAATAAAGAGAGAAGAAGTTTTGCAGGCATGTCAGAACTTACAGGTTGTTTAGCTCAAACATGCCAATAATATTCCCATATATCTCGAGTGAAAACACTAGGCTGAGTTAAGATATAAACTGATGAACCCCTGATGATAATTAAGTAGCCTCAACAAGAGTAATAATTGATTAGTAAACTTCTTTATGAATTTAGGATACAGGGTGCACATTCCTTGTCGAAGATGGCTTCTTTTAGGAGCTGCAGTGACTGAAGAATAAAACTGAAATGTTAATATACATACAACAACATGGCTTAAAAACAATAAAATTTATACCATTGCATGTAAACAACCTTAAATCAGTGCATGAGGACTACTTAACGTGAAGCAAGTTACTATCTAGTATTATAGCTCCACATGGTTTGCGCAAAGCATGGTGATGATAAAACAATAGATGTATTAATTAGCTTCACGACATTTATTACCTAAAATAATTGGAATAAGTACTATATTTTTTAATGTCACCTAAAGTAATACACGAATCGCACCAAAAACCACTGAAGTAAATGAAAACAAAAGAGAAAAGATAGTAGTACATTGGAAAAGAAGAAATGAAGGATGATATACTTTTCTTTTTTTGATTGGCAAGCGAGGTTGATTAAAAAAATTGTAGTGGATTTTTTCTCTAAAGCTGATTGCTGAACCAGGGGAGGCAAACAAAGATCATTTTCAGTCATGAAAAAGATGATAGAAAGGCTCAAGCTCAAACAATAAGTATGAAAAGTAAGAGTAAGGGAGAGCTCAAAAGGAAGAGAAAAATCGACAATTTCAAATTAAAGAAGCAATCTTGTTCTTTCTTCAAATAGTTTTTCCTTCTCTTTTTGGAAAAAAAAACACCTCATAAGCTATGCAGTTAGAGGCAGCAATGGGTGTCAGAGGTGAGCCTAGAACCTAGCACATGGCCCCTATGCTGGTAAAAGTGAGATTTGATCTCTAGTACATATGTCAATATTGATTTTTGGTGCATATTGCCAAAAATTTCTGAAACTATCAATTACTACCTAACAGTCGAGGGTAACTTTGACATATTTTGGAACATTGAGGTGGAATTCAAGTATTAGCCTGATTTGGAGAATTTGCTTTAGTCAAGTTCATCAATGTTTGAATAGAACTACACAAAGTGCCCCCATTTTCAGTTCACTTTTATTTAAAATAACCCAGTAACACACAATTGAGAATATTTTGACCAGTTTTGAAGTACTAAATTAATTTTGGTGAAATTTTGGACCCAATTTGTATTTGTTTGATATTGTAGGTTTTCTTATTTGAGAAAAAAAGGAAGGCCTAGAGCCTACCTGTGAGGCTGTGACTGCATCGTTCACAAGTTCAAGTTATACCTGTGTGTATATTTCGTCATCTCAAAACTTAGTACGTAACAAAAAAAAAAGAACGATTCAAAAGAATCTAGACTAGAATAAAATTTTCAAAGCTACAAGTTACAAATGAATAAATGATACTAGATCATAAAACTTTT